TATATAGATGAAATAATTGTTCAAAATATACAACTTTTAAAATGTAAGATATCCAATATTTTACAATTGGATGCTTAGGTTAGAATATCATAGATAACTTTTTCTTTTGTTATTTTTGGTTTACTTAATTCATATTTTGGTGTTTTCATCTTCTTCAAAGGGTTTTATTTCATCCTCAAAATTACTTAACAAAACTTGTCATTGTGTATGTTATCCCACACAATAGTATATAAAAGTGCTTAGAATACATCATATTCAACTATAAAACTGTTTTGAAGCATTTTTTTATATATGAGGAATTTTGGATAGAATATAAAATACTTTACTGGATTTATTAAAACATTTGAATAATTTTTACTTATCATTATGTGCATAACTTATTCCTTTGTGTAAAATACTAAAAGCCTAGTGAATTAGTTTATGTGTAAGCAATAAGTATTGACTTGTATATCAGACTTGGGAGAGTAGTGGTTAAAAAGAGTTCACTTAGACTGAACTGTACCATTTTCTTTCAGTGCTTCCCAGTGGTCTAGTCCAAGTGTGTCGGGTTTAACTGATATGAATAGTTCTGCAGATTCTAGTGGCATTCAGTTCTACAATCCGCAAGCCCTTGGCAGACAAGTACGTATGGTTGCAGATATCACTAACTTTATTTTCAAAAGCAGTACTTGGATATTATTAACAAAAAAAGATAAGTTAGTTTTAAATTTCATTCTTATACATTTTATTTACATTAATTTTCTTTTAATTTAAATGTTATAATGAACATTATGAACATGGTAATTTGACCAATATTTTAATTTAGTAAGATACTTGTTTTAGTTAATACTTCTGATTTATAATAGTGTTTGTATACCTTGAATTGTAACTAAAAAAAGTTTTGAGGATATACAGGAAGCAGAAGGTAGTCAGTAGCAAGATAATGTGTCTGGTTATGAGGCTAATCCTACTCCAACACATCAGTATTTTTGGAATTATAGCTGAGATTTCATCCCACCCATATCCTCTACATAAAGAATCCAATAATTAATTTTATTTTGCCATTTTAAGCTCATTTAACTTTTTATTTGGAAAATAAGTTTTAAAATACATAAGGTACACATAATTTGGAGAAAAGATGATCAAAACACAACTAGGATGTTCCTTAGGCTACTTTTCAGTTTGGAGATTAAAGATGCAACAACATCAACTTTAAATATAGCATCAAAACACCCTTTTAATTCTGTGTTTTTAAGTAGGAACTTTTAACAGGTAGAAAATCTTAATTCTATACATTATGTATAGAAATATTACAATCAGCTGACCCTGTTTTCCATTTGATATTAGAAAAAAATTAAAAGTTGTGGCCTTGTTAATTTTTAGAACTGTTTGACACAAGGCCCTTTTGCTGTAGCTGAATGGTTGGTGTAATATATTCCTTTTGTTTCAGAATTTCATGCAAAGCTAATGTAAAGTTAAATAGTTATTTTTAAAACAAAAAATATGAATTTTAAACATCCTATGTGGATGTGTTTCAATATGGGATCAAAATGTACACTATTTCCACATCTATGAATATATCTTCGGGGTAAAGCCCATTAAACATCTGGTTTTTTTTTTAGATTTCTAAATTTAAATAATAGTATTTCGGTATTATTGTTTACTTCTTACTGAGAGGTGTATTTTTTTAATGATTTTAGTTTAAAAACAGAGGCTGCTTGTTTTATTAGATATGTTTTTGACCCCTGAAAATTAATTTTTACATAAACTTATTGTTATTTCAAGATAACGATGGTTAATTAAAAAAAAAATATATTTTTTTTTTCAAAACAGCTAGAAATTTCCTTGTATATTTTGATAGGTGAATCCAGGAGGGTCAACTTATCAGTCTAGTTCAGTTGATCCTTGGAATTGGGAACCAGAAGGTGGTCAGCAGCAAGATAATGTGTCTGGTTACGAAGCTAACCCTACTCCACCAAATCAATATTCTTGGAACTATAGAAGAGACTACGTGGCTGAGAATTCATCCCATCCATATCCTCTACATTCTCAACAATCACCACCCCAATATATGTTAGATGCCCCACAGTCACCTACACAACATATGTCAGATGCCCCACAGTCACCTCCACAACATATGTTAGATGCCCCACAGTCGCCACCACGACATATGTTAGATTCCCAACCGTTGCCACCACAACATATGTTAGATTCCCAACAATTACATAAGCATTCAGTAGATTCAGAGCAAGTCAAATCTAGCATAGCAGATTCTCAGCAATTGCAGCATCACACGTATTCCCACCATGTGTCTCAACAATATACTATAGATTCAGGACAAATGCCACACCTTTATTCAATAGCTCCACAACAGATGTCTCAGCAACAACAGGTTGACCTACAACAGAAGACTCAACAATACCAAGTTAATTCCCAAGAGATGTCTCATTACTACTTAGATAATTCCCAGCAATTGTCTCAACAGTATTCAACAGATCCTCAACAAATATTACAACAACAACATCAAATTGATTCCTACCCATTGTCACCAGGACATAGAGCAGATTCTCAACATTATTATGGGTATGATCCAGGTCAAATTTCTCAACATAATGTGATGTATTCTCAGTTAGTTCCTCAACAACCTGTGGGTGACTCTCCAAACATTCCAATGACACAGTTTGCAGACAGCAGTCACCTAGAAAACAGTACTTTAAATACTAACCCAAGCTGGAACAGCGGTGGTTATACTGTGCCAAATCCATATAGCTGGCAAGAGGGTGAGTGGCATGACCAGTCAAGTCAGTCTTACTCAAACATGCCGTCATCAGATGATCAAAACAGCCATCTAAAACAAGTACAACAAGGATGGCATGAAAGTCTAGGGATTCAAGGCGATTCCAGATCAGATCAGCAGCACTACTGTGCATCAGTGACACCCAAGTTACCAGTTGACCTTCATGTAGAACAAAAAGATCTTGATGCTTGTGATGAAGGCATGAGTAAATTCTTCAATAGTGACATTCAGGATAGAGTAGAAACTGTACCTCCTCCTTCTCAAAGCATTGGGGAGATTTATAAATTTCAAGCCTCTGACCAAGCAGCCATGACAGAAGTGACTCATTCTACTGCTGAAGATACAAGTGTTGAGGAAGTTGACCAGCGTATGGTACACAACCTTCAGAACATTGGAAAATTAGACTACCTCACAAACACTTGTCCAGAAGGAAGTGAAATGATTGATTTTGATAAACAAAACTTTGTAATACAGGAAGGTCAATCTGGAAAAGGGAAAGAAATAGATCCAGAGAGTGTGGAAGACTTAAGTGTTAGCATTCAAAAAATCAACTTATCAGATGGTGAGTTTTCTGAATTTTGTAAATAAACAACAACTTTATAACTTTTTAACATCCCTAAATTTCTTGAGTATCCATCTTAAACTTTTCTAACGAAAGAACAGAATCAGCAAAGGTTAGTTACAGATAATTAAGAGAAAATTTGAAGTTTTAGCCAGTTATGGTTGTGTGTTAGAAAAAACTGTATTTGTAATTTTTGTTTTCAAGATGCTTCTTTGCTTTAACATGTAGCATTTAAGAACTGAAAAATATAAAAGACCCATGTGAGGTAACACTGAAACTTGTATAACAACATGCTAAAAGTTTCTTGTTCTTCACTAGTAGCAAAACTAACCTTAGAAATTCTCGACATAGTGGTGCATATTGTAATCACCATGTTACTTATTCTAAGGTTAATTTTTTTTCAATGCTATTTCAGTGGAAAAGGAATGAAGAAAAAAGTTAGGAATTTTTTAATTTAGAAATTTACTGGCAGGAAGTCATTAAGGGAGAAACATCTTGATGACCGGTTGACTGAATATTTCCAAACTAATTGGAAACAACAATAACCATACCAAGATCCTAGTACAAATCAGAAAAGTGAATTCTCTACAAATCTTTTAATATTTCAGTGATAAATGACCTTTTCTTCTGTCCTACATGATAATGAGTTTCTGCTGTTAATGTACAAAGTGAACATAAGAACCAACTGTTTCTTCTTTCCTTCATCATGATTATTGGTTATTATATTTTACAAGGTGAAAACAAGAAACAAATTTTTCTTCTGTCTTGCATCATGTGTATGTGTTTTACTACTGTTTACAAGGTGAAGACAAGAAACAAACTTTTTTTATGTCCAGCATCATGAGTATGTGTTTTACTACTGTTTACAAGGTGAAGACAAGAAACAAACTTTTCTTCTGTCCAACATCATGTGTATGTGTTTTACTACTGTTTACAAGGTGAAGACAAGAAACAAACTTTTTTTATGTCCAGCATCATGAGTATGTGTTTTACTACTGTTTACAAGGTGAAGACAAGAAACAAACTTTTCTTCTGTCCTTCCCTCATGAGTATGGGTTACTACTTGTTTACAAGGTGAAGACAAGAAATAACCCTTTCTTCTGTCCTACATCATGAGTATGGGTTACTACTCTTTACTAGTATGAGAGGCAAATAAATATGAATATGCATAACATTTTGGATGATAACTTATTTTGATAAACAGAAAAGGAAAAATATTTAAGTAAAACTATCAATCAGTGTTTCTGTCTTTTTTATTTTTTTTGTAATGAAAAATTGACTCAACTCCATCGTTAGTCATTTAGGCATATTTACATTTTGTTGAGAAAGTATTAATTAATGACTAAGCACCAATTCACAAGAATGACACTGTATTTATGCACAGGCAATATGTCCGTGTGGAATGTCACTACTTGTTGAGGAACTGGGATACCTTGAAAATATAATTATTCATGTCTTCTTTTACATGTGATTTTCCTTCTGTATTAGTTTTTTTGTTATTACAGCCTTCTGTTCTAACCATTTTATTATGTCACAGCACATGGTCTGAAAAATTACTAATGAAATTCAGTTGTGAAAATGGCTAATGTGAATGTTTCAGTACAAATAGGTAGTGTAGATTATTTACTATTGAAGTAAATTTTGAGTAAACAAACTGGTTTTGAGCAGCAATTTGTGGTTTATCAAGGTACTGACTAACTGGAGATTCTATAGGGTAAAGAAAGAAAGAAATTTAATGGAGAGCTTAGAAGAACTAGGAACAAACCATAGATCTGAATGCTTTTATAGACTGATGACTTTGGGATTACCAAATTGAAATGAAATGATTCATTTGAATAATTAGAAACCATACAGTTAACACATGTAAACAAGTTATTTGTGATTTGGAATCATGCATATCTTTTAGAGGCATTAAAACTTTCTGATAGCATTTTACTGACCATTATGCATAATAGTTTAAAATATCAAAAGTATCAACGAAATATCACTAAGCTTTGCAGTGGCTAGTGTATCACCTTTGGACTTTGATACATCTAGTAGTGTATCCAGTTTTCAACATCATTTTATTTCAAATTATCGCTATTGCAGTAAACAGTGAGTAAACACTGAATATTTTTTTGTGTTTATGTGATATTGTTGTGATTTGAAACTATATTGTTAAGAACCATGTCTTTTAAAAACAAATTAGTAATCTATTCTGGATATATGTACGAGAGTGCGAAGTATGAACATATTGTGTAGGTGAAATGTACAAGAGTGCGAAGTATGAACATATTGTGTAGGTGATATGTACAAGAGTACAAAGTATGAACATACTGTGTAGGTGATATGTACAAGAGTACAAAGTATGAACATATTGTGTAGGTGATATGTACAAGAGTGCAAAGTATGAACATATTGTGTAGGTGATATATATACGGGAGTGCAAAGTATGAACATATTGTGTAGGTGATATGTACGAGAGAGCAAAGTATGAACATACTGTGTAGGTGATATGTACAAGAGTGCGAAGTATGAACATATTGTGTAGGTGATATGTACGAGAGAGCAAAGTATGAACATACTGTGTAGGTGATATGTACGAGAGTGCAAAGTATGAACATATTGTGTAGGTGATATGTACAGAAGTGTAAAGTATGAACTTCATACTTTACACTTCCGTACATATCACCTGCACAATATCATCTTGTAGGTGATATGTACGAGAGTCTAAAGTATGAACATCTTGTATGTGGGTGATATGTACGAGAGTGCAAAGTATGAACATATTGTGTAGGTGATATGTACAGAAGTGTAAAGTATGAACATCTTGTAGGTGATATGTACGGAAGTGTAAAGTATGAACATCTTGTAGGTGATATGTACGAGAGTGTAAAGTATGAACATCTTGTATGTAGGTGATATGTACGAGAGTGTAAAGTATGAAC